GTCCCATCGATAGAACAAATTTAGTCGCCCCGAATGGCTCGTTTACCGACAGTATGTAGAGTTTTTTAGCTTTTACAACTATGAACCATGCACTTTTGTGCGCCTGCATTGGTTGTTATCTTTTGGCCACCCATTTGGATAAAAGAGCAGAAGGAAGGTTGAAATGTTGAAAGCAAAGTCAAAGGTAAAATAGAGAATTCATATCGACTGAGATTGTAAGAATAATGAGTGAATGCACGAACACCTCTGTTCGCGACACCCAACCATATCACTCAGCGTTTCTAACCACCGGTTACCATGATCTCAGAGTCCCCAGCCAGGGAGCCTAACGGGACCTATGTGACCCAGTGTCCTGATTAGGGTTTTCATACCCTCATGCCAGGTCTTAGTTTGACCGTCCTTGACCTTTTTCCATCCACAGCGCGTGTCGTGGCAACCTATTTGGGGGAATGCGCAGCACATGTCCCAACCAGCGTAATCTATGGAGATCGACCAGTTGCTTCAGTGGACGATCGCGATTACCTAAAACTCTTCGCCTAACCTCAGCATTGCTGGTTCGGTTTCCACACCAGAATTGTGCAATGTGAGGTAGACAGCGATGTTCGAACATCGACAATCTTTTTTTATCCTGTTTCCGTGTTCAGTATGCAGAAGAACACGATGGAGTGTTTCTAGGGTATGGATATGAGACAGTGCAAATTAAGTTTGAGACAAAAAGAAAAGCATACACAAGAAGAAGAATGCTGTTGATGACTGGGAGTGAAAGATAAAAGCGATTGCAGTTTGGAACATCCAAAAGCTAACATCACAACAACGTGCGTTTCAGATCATCACGTAATCGGTGCAAACCACATTCAAGGACGAGATTTCGCTGACACTACCCGTCGTTGAGAAACAATTGGTCCTGATGAAAGTTATTTTGTTTCATTTAAGCTTCGGGAGCATTCGGGAAGAAGTCATGCAATCCAATTGCAAAAAGATCAGAATCCTCGATAGAATTCGAACACACGCATGGATTTCGACCAAACCTCTGCACAGTGTACGCGGGGACAACTGAGCTACGAAGTGAGGACTACTACTGTTGTGAGGTGCTACTCATATTTGTGAGCACTATGCAAAATAATGCGGTTGACGGTTTCTTTCAACGGCCAAAAATGAACAAGACAACTTAGAGCGATTTGTTGTGCTCAAAATAATAACTACGGACTGTTGTATTCATTACCCTGTGTGCAGCCGGGAATTGTGATGACATGTTTAAAATGAGGCACCTTGTTATATGTATGCCAAATTATCGATATCCTAATTGTAATCCGCAATGAACGACTTTCCTCGACCGGGAACCGCCTCCTGGCTTATAACATCACTACCACTAGTCTGATATTCATGGATATCTAAGAAATTTCTGGTGTTTACAAAAAAAGCCAGATTTCGCAACTAAGATAATTAAAAGTATGAATGGAACAGAAGTGGCCAAAATATGTGCAATAAAAAGTGGAAAACTGTATAAAAATCTGGTTACCTGGAGTAAGAATTGACGCCGTTTCACTTTAAATGCCCAATCCATGGTGAGTGGACGACTAATCGGTTCGAGACCATCTCCTAACCAAGGTAGCTTGGTTACAGTGAACAGGCCGTCGAAATCGGAATAGGCCGTATTCTTGCCAGTCGGGCCGTCAAATCCAGTGATAGTATAGGCGTAGTCGGCATAATGATGTATGCGACTGCGTAATCCTGCGGGCTATGAAGGAATGCAATAATCAACGGTTTCGGTGTAGATATCAACAAACGATAGAAAATGTCACATTGACAAATGTTCCAAATTTCATAAATGAGTAATGGTCACTTAAATCACAACAATTCTATTTGAAATGGTCAAGACAATTGCCACAATTAGACCCACTAGGGCTTCCGAAAGCCTCAGTATGGTCGGGGGTGAGTGTCTTGTGTTGGAGCTGGTCATCCTTCCCTTGAACCTCATGAAATGATCCTATGCAACCAAGCGTCTCAAATAACTTCTGCTGAGGAAGCCCTACTCACTGCCTTCCCGCGGCGGAGTTGTTTTCCCACCGAAGTGAAAGGACGAAAAGTCAACATTTGAGGCTATAACCGGGTTGGTGGACCACTTCTAGTCCACCTAGGGGAGTTGGCCAAAAACCTTGATTCCAAACTAACTATGAGGAGGCGTAAGAACACACGACACACAACTTCCTGGTTGTGGTAGTGATCACCGGCTCGAGTGGACATCGAGCTGTATTGGGCACCTTGGACGTTTGACTCCGCCCAAAGGGAGCACGATCCGCTGAACTGGACACCGGCCCCCAATAGACTGCGGCTTTCGCACACCGCCTTGCAGGTCAGGCTTTGGCTAGCCAAAGGCTCCGGTTATGAATTCCTCAAGAAAATCCACCCGCCTTATTCTGGGCAACCTGGCAGTATTTCGCCCACATGCAAATCATGGAACGTTTTTCCTATCCATAAAGATTACTGTAGCATGATTTATTTAGCACACAGTCTGAATTCAGACGTGTGAAAATAAAATGAATAAATGGATCATTGGATATGCAGAAGTGATCATCATCATCATCACCGTACGAGATACAGTGAAGCGAACTTCACTGATCGTTGCCAAGCTCACGATGTACACGAATCAAGTGATAAAGCACG